ATCGGGATATATCGTATCGTGACCCCTCTGTCATGATATGTATCGTATTGCCAAATTCTTGCCACTACACAGCCCTATTAAGTTGTGATTTTTTAAAATCATTCTTTACTATATGATGACACAAAATTTCAACCTAATATTTCTTAAAACAGCTGAATTGAAGCCATTTGGAACTAGCTGTTGAGGCCATCTTGAATTTTCAAATCCAGAGTGTTGTTTTTTTTGTATGTGCCCCTCCCCCATCCCCCCACTGCCTCTCAAAAAAAAAGCAAAACAAACAAAAACACACCTTGGCCACCCCTTGCAAAAAATCCTTAGTTTGCCCCTGATGACCATAAAAAATATATATTTTTCATATCAATGACTGAAATGTCCTTGAATTAAATGAATTATAAGCAATTTTTGATATTAATTATTAGAATCAGTTTTATCCGTTAGAAAAATATCACATCAATCACTAAACAGCTTTGAAAGAAACTCGCAGAAACAGAAAAAAAGTTTCAAGGTTTGACAAAAGTCACTAATTCAAAGAACGCTGGACCTTCAGTTTGTTTTTTCAATTCGTCACTCATTCTGTGGCACAAATATTGGCCTTTTGATACAAAAATTGGTTTAATATTGAATTATTTTTCAGTTTTAGTCTTTAAATGCTTGAAGAATTCAAATTAATATAACCTTTAAATGAATTTCAACAAGAACCAAATTGAGAGATCTCTCTCAGTGGAATTGTTAATACGAGCAAAGATGTGAAAATAATTTGTTTTTATGAATTTTTTTTTTTACCCTTGCCTGGACCCGTACAAAGTGTGCCTCTGAGCAGAAGTGATGTAAACACAGTCTGTTATCTGTCTGCTGCTGGACTCCGTGTCCTGTTCTGAGATCAAGCGCCCCTCAGGGAGTCAAATCCTGCACCAACTTCACATTTTTGCACTCAATCATTCGGCTCCTCTCCTCTCCTCTCCTCTCCTGATAGGCATCGTCTCTGCCTGCTCCTCGCCTTTTAAGGCCACCTTTAACCCCCTGAGAGTCTAGAGCGAAGAAAAAAAAAAAACATAGCTCACACAACTCAGGAGGAAGGGAGCAGAGTCCAGGTCGGGATCAGAGTGTCAGACTGGGTTGACTCTGATCGCTGCTGCCACCAGAAGAGCAACATTTCACAATTTCACAGCAGTGGATGAAGAGGCAGACAGACACTCCTCCTCCTCTTCCTCCTTYATAGTCTYAGAACTTCAGAGACACACAGATCCRTCTGAGGTTCCYACAGGCCGMCGCTGCAGGCACCTCTGTGCACTTTGACCCCAGCCTGAGAGGAAGAGACGGCATGAGGAAGAACAACAGCGCTATCCCRCTCATCTATGTGACAGAGGTACACCATATTCTATATTTAATATCTAACATCTCTAAAGTGTTCTTTTTTTTGTTAAATCTCATAATGATGAAGTAATCTTTCCAAAAAATGTGAAACAAAAGAGATTTGTTTCCTCTGATAATTATTAGGTTTGAAAAGCTTGTTTTTTAAGTGGTTGTAGATTTTAGTGACGGAAGTCAACTTTTAAACCGTTTAAAGTTGAGTCAGACAAGTTTCACCATGTTCTTGTCAGCGTTTGAAGCTTGAGTAACACCTGAGGAATGCCGGCTGCTTAAAATGCAAGGTGCTGCTTTTTCAGTTTCTCTTTTGTTCAAAGCTCAATTTATGATTTTATATAAACATGTATATATATATATATATACTGTATATGTATCTTGTGGTTGAAGCAAACCCTGAAGTTTCTGTTCTGCTTTTGAGTTCCTTATCAAGAGGTCATGTTCTTGCAGTCCCAGCGSTTCATCATTCGTTGGTTTCTGTCCAGCTGTGAAAGGACTCGGTCACTATTCTGCACCCAGCTGCCCTCATTTTATCTGCTTTATGTCCCTCAGTGCACAAAAAAAAACTTACATAATCCCTCTAACCCACAATGAGGCGCTTCCTGTCGTGCCTGTAGCCTCYTTCAGTTCACAAACAAGGAAATAGTTGAGGGAAGAAGCAGAATGTTGCGTTTTTATCAGCTAAATTTTCACAGCCGATKCGGTCTGCCATCTTTGTTTGTATACAACTGATCTCTTATTTTGCCCACTCCCTCGTGTTTATCTCTTCATCATTCCAGCATCTTAAAAAATCTTGATTTACCTGCAGAGCATTTAAAAAGATTTCCCCCACTTTTTTTTAATCGTTAAAACAAAATTTCAGATTATTACGCTTATTTTGATCAACCACTAATAGCTGACCTGAAAGCTTGGTTTGGACAAATAAAGGTTATTTCTGACTCAGTTTAAAGCATTTTATAGAGTTTACTGCAATTTAATGATTTTATAAACCTTTACATTGCTGTCAGTTTGATACAATGTGAAAAGTTGTTTCCTATCGTTTTGATATTTCTGCACAAAGAACTCCAGGCTGCAGAAGTGAAGCAAATAAACAGAATTTGAGGTAAAAAAGTTAGTTTTACAAAATAGTCATTTTTAAGATCGGTGCTGTTTTTAACACGCCATCTACAACAAGTAAGATATTCTTTGTTCACATGTTCTCCACAGAATCCCACTTTAAGCTGAACGGTTCATTATTTAAAGGAAGTAAAAGTGCAACTACAGTTTTTTATGKATTAAAATAGCCTCTGAACCTCAGAGCTAATTGTATAAAAGTTATTTGTTTCTGTTTTAAAGAAACTTTTTCACAACTTCCATTGTTTTTATCACTGGTTCTAACCAGTGTTTTAAATGTATTTATTCRACGCGTCTCAACTTTTGCTCATTCAAGTCAGACAGTTTCAGTCTTTTTACAGTTTTTTGGMTGATTCAGCAGCTCTTCTCATCACAAAGTCAGCCCCAGGCAGAAAACAGACAACTGAAAAGAACTTTTAGGGTTTATTAAGTCTTCAGTTTAAATCTGAGGACGCTTCAATCAGACAAAGCATTAACTTATATTACACCCCCTTTTCAGGAAATGAAAGACTCAAATAGATTTTACTGCGAATAACTGCAAAGCAACATTTTTCTGCAGCTGGTCTATGAACTGCTGTGTAAGCGCTGTATGGTGCAGCACACACCATTTAAAAAACAGAAGTGGCTTCTTTAAAACACACTAAATCAAACTTTGCCCTTAAATTAAACCCCTATTTTACATCCTATTTTAATAATAAATGAATTTATAAATAATAAACAATTTTTAAAGACAATAAAAATCCCATAAAACTCTGAATGGGAAACTTTTTCACATATCTGTTCTGCAATAAATGCAATGGTTTTTGGTTTTTTTTTTTTTTGGTTCTGGTTCATTACTTAGTGCCGCTGGTTCCTTTCAGTCCATTACTCACACAAATTCTTTTTTTCCATAGTATGAAATATAATGTAAATCCACACTCTCACCAAAATCAGTCTGTGCCTGGAAACAATTTGGTCTTATGACTRAAAAAAAGACAGAAAAAGTCAAACTCAGCTTTTTGCTCTGGAAACTTCTTACTGTGCTGAAAAACCAGCAGCTGCTGAGAAATCCAAATACATTCAGAAATGTAATTCATCATCGGAACCGAATGTGAAACCCTGAGGGCAAAATGTCAACGAAAAACCAAGAAAAGTAGTTTCTATTTCTGCTTTGGGTATTTTTCTSTTTCAGACAATCGAACAATGTGAACCATATTTTACTCAAAATATTAAAATCCTACTTCAACAAGACTGTAACTTTAATTTTACAGTTAAAAGACAAAACTGTTGCCACGATCCAAATATAATCACCTATTTATAGATTTATACACTTTAATCTGTAATGGATTGATATTGAGATTATGTTGCTTAAAAATTTTTTAATCAAACAAATGAAACAAATATTTATCATGTTTTACTATAAAATGCATAAGAGTAAGAAATATTGTCTCCTGACATTAAAACATTATTAACAGCTGACTTGTCTGGTTGAAATATTCAGCATCACGCACGCGTGTGTGTGTACAGGTTTTTCCTACAACGTAGGAACAATTTTCCCCAAAACAAGCAGCCTCGTGGGGACCGAAGTGAATTGTGGGGACCAATGTCAGGTCCCCACGGGTCCAAATGCAAATTGTGGGTGTGGGGTTAGGTTTAGGGCCAAGGTTTAGGTTAGTTTTTGGGTCAGGTAAGTACCTGTGAGGTTAATTTTTGGGTATATGTTCAGGGTTAGGCTATAAAGTCTAAAAAACATGAATGGAAGTCAATGGAAGGTCCCCACGGGGTTCAAGAACAAACGTGTGTGTGTGTGTGTGTGTGTGTGTGTGTGTGTGTGTGTGTGTGTGTGTGTGTGTGTGTGTGTG